GCCGAAAATTTCACTTTGTTCAATAACCTGAGCCAACTAGTTGACCAACCCATACGTGCCTTTGATCGCGCTGGCAAACGTGCTCACACCCCTCGATCTAATTCTCGCTTCGACCCCTTTTTACTTCTCAGAGAGTTGTACTCTCCCTTGTCGGATCACGGCACTGTTTCTTGCTGTATTAGGTGTATTAGCCCCGATCCGCAGACCACCTAGAGACACATTCTGACACTACAACTCAGCCAACTTGGACGGTTTCCGTGATTTTTTGGTTTCTTATCCCCGACTCCCACGAAAGCTTCGTGCAAGCTAGGAACAGATACTCGACAGTCACTCAGAAACCCAAAAAGAACGCTCCGTTCGCTAAGGTCGAAGAATTGCTCGCGTCCACCACCGGTAGCCGAGCATTTTGGTCCCTTGCTAAAGCGATTTCCCGTAGTAGCTGCCCTTTCAACTTCCCCTACTTGTAATTCCTCTGATGATCTTGCATGTCAACCACACGAGAAAGCTGAGGGTTTTGCTCCCAAGTTTGCCGTTAACTCCAGCTTACCCAATTATCCCACTCCTCCATCTTCTTCCGGCCTCACTGGCAACCCTTTTCTACCTCATATTAGCACTGGGAAAATCCGTTAAACATTGCGCTCTCTAAACGTAAACAAACCATCCAGTCCGGACGGTATTCCACCCATCGTCCTCAAAATGTGTGCTCCCGAGCTGGTTCCTATCTTAAGTCGTTTTGTCAACCTTTTCCTCCAACTTTGTAATTTTCCAACCCCTTTTGAACACGCCGTGATATTTCCCATTCCCAAACACGGTGACCTTTCTGACCACAACAATTGCCGACCCATTCTCCTCACATCTGTTCAGTTCCTTAGTGAGCGAATCATCTGCGCCCGAGTTGATGGGATTATATCTCAGCCGTTCCCTGTGAATGCTGACCTCCCCCAAGGTTCAGTACTTGAGGCCACCCTCTCTGTTCTATTCATCAATGATCTCCTTTCCTAAATTTTCTACCCAGTCTATTCTTTTGCCAATGACGTCAACTTCCACCGCTCCCTCTCTTACTGCACTACTCGCCATGCCCAAATCAACATCGATCGTGACGTTAAAGTAGTTAAAGTGTCACTGGATTCCGATCTTGAGCAAACCTCCTCCTGGAGCAATGTCAACCACGTTTAAATGGTTCTAAAAACATCTCTTCTTTCAATTTATTTAAAACGCCATTCATTCTCCTCCCGTTTATCTTTAGATTCTATCCAACTACGTACGTTCCGCAAGTTCTGTTTCGATCGTACTTCTCTGCTACAATCTTTTCCCCTCAAATTGTGGAACACCCTCCGAAGTTTCTGTTTTCCCCCAAATTACAACCTTACAGTCTTTAAGCGCAGAATCAATAAACTGGATCATGTGTGAATGTTACCCTACTATCCTACTATGCTATTTGTTCATGGAATCTCCCCTTTTACTGTAATTCATATTGTGCAATTAAAACATTCCTCAATTTCATTTAACAGAAGACTGCCCTTTATTTTTGATAAAAAACTTCTCGGTGTCTCTTTTATTCCCGTCTGTCATACCGAAGACAATTAGCAAATACAGCGTTGAAACATATTTGAAATAAAGACACTAAAAGGCACGCAAAGTCGCTGACCGGAAACGTGAGTGACTAATTCAAAGAGAGGTTTCTAAGTATCCTGGCTCTCATCTATGGAAACGGCCTTCAGAGTGGCCAAATCGGCATTTTGAATATTAGTTTTTTCCAAATTGTAAAGGGTAAAGACCGCAATTCTCCCCATCAATCGTGATTTTTCAGTATCATTTCGTTCAGATGATGATTTTCAAAGAGATTTCGTATTTCAGAGTTCCATGCATTTCTGTATAAAATATATAGAATAATGTTGATCCTGCATGCGGCACAGGAATATGAAATCATTTTCTCTTGGGAAAGTATGTATCATCCAATAATTTGTGTTCGTCTCTACTGAGATACCTTTAGGAAATCAACGATGACCAGCAGTTTACTGGACATAGAAATCCACTACAAGAATGACGATTGAGGAGTTCGTTGTACAACGACTGTTCACCTCCGTAAACCGAAGGCATTCGAAAATCGTTCTGTCTGCTTCAGAAGGTTCATGGTGTTGAGAGTATCTTTGGTAAATTCGTAGATAACCAAAGTGCAAGCGAATACAGTACAAACATATTAACTGAAGATTTTGCCCAACTGCTCTGAGGGTTATAAAAAGCAGGTATTTTACGTGTTGGATTCGTGACTATTTGAAAACTGGCTGAAATCTACGGTTTGAATTTCCCAAGAAGAGCCCTTTCGTAGGGGTAAACCTTCGTAAACTAGGTGAGTTATTGTAACTTGAATTGCTTTTTTCATTCAATCGCAAGAAACAAGAATAGCAATGCAATACCGAAAAAGTGTTCATGGAGTAGAAAAGCTCACCTGGTTTCCGCCCTGACGATGACAAGGCCACATACTGATAACGACAGTGCGATCATCTTTTCCTTTTGTTGGGGCATCAATACAGTGCGCGGATGCCACGTTCTCGATCTGAGAAGCGACAAACAAATAGAGAAATGCAGTAGCGGAATGTGAAATGTGCCGGATTTGTGTGTTACAAATTACAAATTAAAAGCGAATTTCTTAGGCAAACGTAACGCCATATCTATATGTATTTAAAACCATTTTGGGCCGCTTAAGAATAAATTGACTAGTTGGCTCGTTGAGGGTAAATGTGGTACGCCAAATAGAAGCTTTGCGTTTCCACTTTTTACTCCCACGACACAAAAAATGTCAAATGTAATCTGTATGGGAAACTTCTTAGACATTACTTCATCCGAAATCAGAGTAGAGAGAAAAGCGAGTGAAGAAAAATCTGGTCAATATAGAACAAAACTGGGACGGAGCTGGAACAGTAAACAGGCTGTCGATGCACATTGCAGCAAATCGAGTAAATCCTATTGAAAAGTAGGCGATACAATGAGATGTCACAATCAAAGAGAACTACTCTTAACCTATGCACAAGTGAACAAAGAAAAAGATGTTGAAGAAATGGAGATAAGGAATGTAGAACAAACACGAATAAATGTTGTTATAGTGAGGCTATTGACTATGGGTCGCTCATCAATTCTAATGACGCCACTTGTAGATTATCATTGTTGGTTGAGTTATATTATTGCGGCAAGGCTAACCGACGATTTACCAACAGCGTTTAATGATTCCCAAAGTGGATTCATAAAAGTGGTCAGCGTTAAATTGCTTCGGGTGTATTTTGTAAACAAACAGGACACAAAATAACAGCCAAGAATTTTGGACTCCAACAACTTAGCTTTACCTGAGAAACTATTCATGGAACGTTCTGGTGAATTCTTTTAGGGTGCGAGCACGCATAATCTGATGCAACAACAGCAATGTTCACAACACTATCAAATTCCATCTCGATATTGAATGAATCTCTCGAATTCCTTTGTATTAAACCTACTGAGTAATTTTGATTGAATCGAATAATGTAACTATACAAACCCTTTTGTCAGACCACGGAGTGGCCACATGTAGCAGTCTTGAGGCCGAACCAGCTCTCATTGCATCAAAGACCGTTACAAATCGAAAAACTCTGACAACAGTGGCAACAGCCTAATCAATGACAGACATGAAGATCGATCATTCGGGTTGGTTCTCTATGATTAGCCGAACTGAATTGCATGCGCCACTGTCAAACTTTAAGTCGGCAGGAAAACAAAACGAAAAGTTGACAGACCTAAAATAGAACAGAATAAACCGATGGGTTCTGACTTCTGGTCAATACGTCGTTCTTCAATTCAGAACATGAGGAAAGCTGTTTGTTATGAATGGGCGCCGTAACTATTTTTCGGAAGATGGTTTCACATAGCAAATATACAAGAAAAATCGATCTTTGGTACTGCCGTGTATTACTTATGTCCGTTAATGGTAGGATGGAGAAGAGAGATAGAGGTACCGAAGACAGCGCACCACTAGTACGAATTCGTGTACCTTAGTGAAGAATAGCTCCTTCCTTTTGGCTCAAACCGCAGTATACTTTCTCTGCAAACTATTGACCAGTGTTTATTAAAAAAAGTCATTGCTCACATTTGCACACTTTCCCTGGCCTGCCAGCCAACCTGAAACGCGAATTCCACATGTCCTTGCAAGGCACAAGGTATGTATGACGAAATGGCTGGGTTGAAGAGATACGAGTTAGCCTAGGTTTGTTGTGATTTAAGGTAAAAAAGGTTCATGTGTGTATGCAGTTTGGTTGCCACCGAGGATTACAAACTTACTCAAGTCAACTGTGAACAATGCACTTCAGGGTATAACTGATCCCCAGCCGTTAAAATGCCATATACATATGAATTTCCACCCCTCGATTACCACCCAGTATCAAAGCAAATTGTCCCACCTATCCAGATTAGAATTGTCCTGGTCACCAAAAATCAATGTCTACCGATGGTGCTCGAAAAATGCGGCTTTTAGACCACTGCAATCGATGCTGAATTTGAGAATGATTTAAAGAAATCAGATGCTTCATCACTTTCCTCTAATTTAGTAACGCAGCTGAAGCAACAACTAGCCGCACAGTTCCTGTAGAACGTATCAATTCAAATATCGCTTAAAGGTTGCTGTTGGAGGGTTCTGTGAGCTGAGAAATTTATTTTCAGACACTGCGCAGTAATGCTAGGTAATAATGTCAGTGCGACTTCGAAGAACTGTCTCAGACCAATATAACCCATTAAATGCTGTTAATCACAAGGTGGTTTTTCGAAACTTGTCGTTAGTTAAACCACTCATATTGATCAAATTCGCTGGGTTGATGATATAGCTAAAGAAAACTTTGTTAAACTGATTTATCCTAGGAAATGTGCCTGGGTCAGTGAAAAAATATTATTAACTCTGCTCTAGGAGAACAAGGAAAATATGCAAGGCATTACAAAAAATAATAACCTTATCATACATGAGTGAAACGATCGGGTATACTTCCATTCAGGATATGCATTATTTGAACTTCGAAATTCTTCCTCTCATGGAAGATAACTGTCTTTGATTAATCAACAGACCCGAGCATTTTCAATGGGCATCGAATCCGAACTGTCTGCTACTCAGTCATGGTCTTGATATTTTAGTGTAATAACTGCACTCTAGGTCACATCTTCAAAGGCAGTTGGAAAAGCATAAACATCAATCGGGTCGCGGGAAGAGAACAATCACTTAAGGTGTTGATCTGATATTCAGCTGTCTGATGTCGTTCAAGAACTGTCAGCTGAAACTTTTCCTACCACAAATGACATTCTCAACCATGAAAGAACTCCAACCGTTAGCTCGTGGTCTGGAGGCTGACGTGTTTTTACATAGGTTACACCATTAGGATATGAGACCATCAGAACTGCAGAAGTTAAACTCTTCCTCGTCGCTGGATATCGCACCATGACATTCAGAAGTCCAATTAATGTGACTCCTAACTCACGTAACTCGATCATCAATAGGAAGACCTATTAGTCATCGAACTGATTTCATCTTCCCGGATAGTGAATTTAATGTAATTTGTCATGGTTACTGTAAGCGTCACACTCAAGTGTAATGATCGCAATAAGTTCGATGCAACTGTTAACTGGTTTGAAGCAGAAGATACGAGAGGTTCTGCGCACAGATCAGAGACCTCTCATCAAGTTTCGTGTCTATTCTTCGAGTTGTATCAATTTGGGCCGTAAGTAGTTAAGCACAACGCGCGATGAGAAAGGAACTTGAACGGCAAATACTGGTTCCCATATCGTTGTCATCAGGCTCAAAATAAATGGTAAGTTGAGATGGGTCATTTGAACGAGCACAGGGAATTCCTAAGACAGGCCAGAAGACAACGCACGAACCGACGAAGCCTCATATCTCAATCATAGCCGAAGTGTCGTTATTATGCATAAGATCCGGTAAATGAGAAGTATAAACAGGGTAAAAACTAGACAGACAACCATTCAATGCGAGGAGATAACGGTTTCAACTAACAGAAAATGCATGACGTCAAAGACTTCACAATAGATTACCATCCATGCACTACTTCTCATCATGAAACCGATTAGGCTTATTGTGCATAACTGTTCACACCTGTTCATACATGTTCCTCGTGTTTGGTGTTGTTGTGACACTAACAAATTGAGTAATCATGTATCCTAAAGTAGTATACCCAGAGGGTGGGTGGGAGAGGGGATTCGACCACCAGGCAGTTGCACCTTAGTGTAGCGTTCTCCATCACTAGAGGGAGAACAATAAGCTGGCCTTGTTTGTAGATGGGGCATTGTACTACACAGATTCTATGCAAGGTGAAAGCTCTAGTTTGATTATTTGCAACCACTGACCAAGCTTACGGGAGCTGCTTTCGTACATGATGTTCTACGATTAAATCGATTCGAAAAAAAATACAGGGAACACTGAACAGAACGTAAAAAATGAAAAATAATATACGCAGTGAGGGGAAATGAGCGCATTTCACAATTCAACACTGTTCCCGGCATATGTTCAGGTCATTTCAATGTTCATCTATCCGTTAGGTATGAAGGTTTCTAAGACCGAATCAGGTAATTCAACTAACCAATACTGTCACTTGAAGAAATAACGGGCTTGTATCGTTCGTGCATCCCATGCAAATTTTACAAACCGGAGGTGTGAGTCTTTGTCGGACTGAGACAAAAATCTGAACTGTCTGTCGACATGATATGATTCGTGCATTCAATTTATCTTTAGGAGTGAGCAACCGGTTCGCGTGTCTACAACAAGCCGATTGTCACTGCACTCGGCCGGTAAAACAAATAGAAATGCAAGTGAACCCCATCGCTGGGTTACTTTGCGTGACTCTTGACAATAAACTATTTCCGAATGACTTGGTCGAATTTGATGTGTGTGCGGGCTGGGCAACAACGAGATATACCTCTGCATTCGGAGGATTAACTTGAATACGACTGTGAATAGAGCAACAACAACAACAGGAAAAACCACAAGTCTGTCTGATACACAATATCCATTCCCAGTCAGACAGGCCAGAACGATTGTAGGTAGCCCAATCTCTGCTATTAAAGGTGACGGAACTTCGAAAGAATACGACTGTGTCGCCGTTAACTTGTAGGAAAACAGTGCATGAGAGAAAGATTCGTGTTTGACAAATGAATCACATCGAACCATTGGAGTCCCTCATCTGACAAAAAGAAAGCAAGCCCACAGACAATACACGTATCGTCCGTTTTCATCTTTTTCATTTGTCCAATTGAAGAAGGCGCGCTCAGGGTCCGTTTCATGTGCATCCATTCACTCAGGACTAGGTACTTCGCTCTCGAAATGGAAGCGGAAAAGGCCCGCAGTGGATTCATTGGCGCCAAAACACTAATGATGGCATAAATCGCCATAAGGTAGAAACCCTGTGACGTCGGTGTACCTGAGCAACAGTGATTAACGCAGACATTGCAACACCAGTATTGAACAGATTCCGGGAAACAGATAGGGTTCTCATGATAGAGAAGTCAATACGCAACACATTGCTTGTCGATGTTGCGATATTTACTACTGGACCCTGGGAAAGTAACGAATCGAATCTGGTGAATTATTTCATCCAAACTTATTCCCCAAAGTGTTATGGTATAATTTATTACCACCAACAGACTGATCCATGGGTGGTGTGAATCTCACCGAATCAAAATTACTTACTCTCTCTATGTAGATCTGACAGCAAATCTCCTACTAAAAATCTGATTTCACAAATCCTATACATGGAGAAAACAGCTCGTCCTTACCATAATAATATTAGTGATGATGATAATAACGTTCATGATAGCTTGATATTATGTAAAGCTCTGAGAATATTAAATGACCAGATGAAACCCAGAACAGGAAAAAGATTTCAATTTCCAGTAAAATTTAGTAGTTCCGAATGACTGTAGTGCATCAGAGGGAACTGGAAGTGGACAAAATCGTTCAGATGAACTGTGCCCACTGACCGCTTGAAAGATTCAGACAGAACGAGTTTTTTGTTTCTACTCGTTTTCTATAGGAAATAACGAGAATTCGAGAACAAGGGACACCATCCCATGTAGCGGTCATCAAAAAAGTACTCGTATCATCGTCAAATGTCAAAATACCTATCACAGTAAATCATGAGGGGACAGGAAGTATAAAAGGTAACCTCATAGTAAGAAAGGTCTGTATCGTATTTTAGGTAGTCAACTATATATCAAAGCCACGCATTTCTTAGTGTTCGAGAGGTACAGTGAATGAGGTGCGACCACACACCTCGCCTAACCCTGTGCAATAACGATAAGGTCTGAGTTTAATCGACCGAAATTGTGCTGGTTAGTTTCGTGGATGTTATGCACTAGTCACTGTGCCTCAAAGGGATCTGTCCCAATGAGTTCACTTGATATTTTCCGGTTGAAATTACGTCAGTTCAGCTTGTTGTGCAATGATAATGATGAGAGCTACGATGCACCAATTCCGTAGAATGTAATACTATATTCAGCGCTAAATTGAACTGATGTTGCTCAAAAGCAACACATGCTATTTTTCAGTGGGTTCCATTCAAGGGCAATCCGCGTGATTAGTACCGGCAAAATTACCTATGGTACAACCGCATCGATCGAGAACGAGAGCCTATGCATAAAACTGACTGGTGCATAAGAACTCATTCAGTGATCAGACAAAAACACACTAACAGGTAACGGTCAAGAGAAGAGAACGAGAGAAGTGCATTATCGAAACGGTAAATGCGACAGACTGATCAAGCTCACTTACATCACCGGAGGCGATCGCATCGGAGGGTACGAACAGTTCCGGATAGATATTGTCTAAATACCATTTGAAAGGCTTGCACTGTAGTTGTTCCCGAATTCGTTTGCGGTCTGATACGTCACCATAATCACCCTGAAAACGAGGGAAGGGACGGTTTGAAGATGTTCAAATAAAAAATTTCCATCGATATAACAATATAATTGTGCGATATTCTCGGCCAGAGAATGATGGATGATGGCGAAATATAGACTGAGAACAGACAAACGGTCTCACAAAATATAGATCAAGTTCCAGTAGTCGATTGACGTATGACAATATACCGGACAATAAGGTGGTCAGCGGCTTGCAAATGTCAATAGCTGAAGGTTACTTATTGAAAAACGAATTACCGATAAGAAGAAATCAAGCTGTTGCTATCATTGAAGTTATATTTATGAAAACCTAGTATCGAAAAAAACAATACTGAAATCGTATCAGAGTGAACTAAGAAAATTACAAATTATTATCCCAGTGCAGTTAAATTTGTAGCCCGAGTGTGCTAGTAGGTTGCTTCTGGATCTTGAAGTGAGCCAATTATATGCTTAAAAGTAGGGAAGTAATATGATAATTCATGGTGTCATCCCTGCGGTAAATATATGCTTTTGTGGTGGTAGGCAGGGGTCTCTCCACATCCATTATGATGATCAATGCGCAAGAAAAATTTGGGAATTTACCAATTATTTATCTCAACGTACCGTGGCGTACCTCTTAGCTAAAGATTTGACGCGGTAGTTGTGGCCGTTGCGACGATCACGAGGTTCAAATTATCACTAACAGCGCTTTGAACGACTGGGATACGGTGTTTAAACATCCCCACAACAGTTCAATCATAAAACATTCCAATATGGCCCAGCCTGGTACCACTTTTGGAAATTGCGAACTAGAGGACCTATGCATCATTACGTGGGCAAGCGGCAAGACAAAATAAAATAAGAAATGGGAGACAATGAGTGCTAGTATATTCATTTAACCACGCTTTTGAGTTACAGTAGTGGACGAATGGAGAATCTGGTTGCGTTACATGTGACCCAAGATAATTATTATGGTTTTTGCATTATTTGATGTCAGTTTGATTGTTTGAATTTTAAGCTGCTAGAGGCTGTTTTTGACCGCATTACTATGATATGCTCATACATACAGTCGGTTGGCGGCGTGCACAGCACGTCTTGAGTCCAGTAACAACTACTGTAGGATCACTAAGACTGCATGAGAAAATCAAACTAGTGTTTGACTCATGGATCAGTCTATGTGAAATGGAAATAACTAAAAAGTATATTATTAGAGCCTATCACAAATACGGTTATCTGACACGATCCAACATGATGACAAGGGGAGGAACAAGACCAGTTGCACTATTCAGGGCTCCTAAGGTGACCGCATGGTTGAAAACATGGAGTGCACTTTGAGTTTGAACTCCCACTGGAAGTTAAACTGTTTCGTAACCGGGCTTTTGTACCATGATGGTACCAACGGTCTTTTCATCCATGGGCAGGATCCGCATATAGGGAGTTTCCAAAACCTCATAAGTAACAGTGGCCATTTTGTGTCTAGATTCATTTCCATCAATTGATTAAGAAGCTAGTTAACTCAAACGGATGTGATCTGTTGCAATCGAATTGAGGGCCAACAGACCTATTCTACCATGGACTGGACGTGACTGAAGACTGAGTGCCTATGTGGACCTCTGCAACTTCCAATCAGCGAAAACGGTCTCGTTAGTTGACTAATTATCCCGCAGGCTAGTAATGACAAATGGGGGCAAATTGTATGCTGTGAGGTGATGGGTCCAGCCCACCATACTAACCACCAATTCGAGAACTGCCAAACACCAATTTGCAGCTAAGTGTAATACGACCTGTATTGGTGGTTGATCAATGTTTATCTGAAAGGGAGATAAAAGAACCACCCCAATCCTGCCGCTAATATAGATCAATCGGGTGAAAAATAAGACAAGCTCAATGAAATTAGCCGAGAGATACGGCGTAGTGAATAATCAATACTGAAACGCTGTAGACAACCTTATTGATTACGAACAGACTCAGATCGTTGTGAACAACTAAATGCTGTGTAAGAATTTCATATTCAATTTCAGAATGAAACTGGTCCTTTTAATCTGTGATTCCACTGAAACCATTCTAATCTACTGATGATACCAATCGTGACGTAACGACAATCTTACGAGTTAGTGAAAAACAGATTGTTCGTAACTGCTTCTATATCACCTTTCAACAAATCAAAAAACATCGTAATTTCACTGCAACATACACGATTGAATTCGACGATGAGTGCCACAATATGAATATAACTGGCCACATGTCGTGCAATTATTAAGCAGGAATAACTTCTACAAAAAATGGCTGGTTAGAGGAAATGCATTAAACAATCATCTGAGTAAATAAAACCGAACGACGGGAAAAGTGAAGGCGGCGACAAGGGGTTCTGGATAAATAACAACAAAATCTGATATAAAACGAAAGATTGGGACTGATGAGGCAATTTATCCTTAAGTTGTTGAACAATGAATGGCTAACTCTTGGATGAGAGTCTT